ATTTTGTTATTATTTTCTCAGAAATTAGGACTGATTTTGTCTGTAGTTATACATTTTCTCAGATGGGATGTCCATGTCTTCATATTTATAAATCAAACAAGATTTGGGAAAGTGGGAAACAAATCAATAGTAATGAATCAGGAGCTTGCAGATCTCAGACTGGGGTCTCAGTCTGTGACCTGAGAGGCTTTTGTTGGGTCAACAGAGGGGTTCTGGGCCGGGGTTTGGACCCTAACGGCCCCCTCAGAGGGCCCAGACCTCTGTGACCTGACCTTGGCACCCTCATCTCCATAACACTGCCCCCTGTCTGCGTCTCTCTGAGGCCTCATTACGGATCCGTGTCTCTGAGGTAATCTCCATGCAGCTGCCCAGGGCCGGAAAACAAAGGCCAAGCGGATCCTGGAGAGCGGCAGAAAAGACTCCAGCTCCTAAATCTGAGCAAAGTCGGCTCGTTTTAATGGGATTTGAACCCTTTCTGAGGACGATCTCATCAGCTTTGAGACGTCTTTCTGAACACTGGTCAGTCAGTTGTAGACATTTACTTTTCCAGAGTCTATACAGTGGGGGAAATAAGTATTTGACCCCTTGCTGATTTTGCAGGTTTGCCCACTTACAAAGAATAAAATAAGATAAGATAAGAGCTTTATTGATCTCACAGTGGAGAAATTCACTGGTCACACATCGGTTAGAGTTCAAAAGGAGGAAAAGGTGCATAAAGTACAGCAAAAAACAAACAAATATACAAGGAAGCAACACAGCGCAGAGATTTGAGTGACAAAAATATATACAATCACTGATGGCTCACACACAGTACACATATTACACAGGACAATAAATATAACACAATTGCAACGATCTATAACTTTAATCATATGTACATTCTAACAGTGAAAGACAGAATCCCAAAGAAAATTCCAGAAAATCACATCATGTGAATTTATAAAAATTGATAACCATCTGATGAGGAAAAATAAGCATTCTTTGTAAGTGGGCAAACCTGCCAAATCAGCAAGGGGTCAAATACTTATTTCCCCCAACTGTATATAAATGATATTAAAGGTTCATATCTCCAACCAGGCTGCATCCTGGGTATTTACAGCCCCCAGGAACCCTTTGCTTTTAATAGATGTTCAGCCATTTTTCAGGACTCAAACATCCTCTCAGGCTTCAGAATAAGTGTTAGAGACCTCATGACTTTGAATATTCATGTTCTGGAGAGGATCAGAGGAGTCCAACAGCTTTACATTTAGCAAAACAACCAAGAGTTGTGTCTCTGTTTTTTTGTGGAGAACCCCACAGTCAGATGTCGTTTATCCCCTAAATGCTTCTGTGTGGTTTCAGTTTCAGCTCAAAATTTAGTGAAAACATGGGAGTTTAAAGTCGTGGCTTTCTTAAAAGCTGAGTCCCTTTTGTCCACATGGCAGTGGGACGGTCAGTGATTAATGGGATGAATCAATACCTCATCCACCAATCAGCAGGAAGCACACATGTGCAAAATAATTCCTGCAATTCAATGTGGACATTTATCTTCATAAGTAGATTAAGGAGTTCCAGATGATCTGAGAGATGTTTATTATTTCTGCTGTTTTACTTATTTAATGACTTTGCTTTAGCATCTTTTTGCGTTTGAACTATAGATCTTAGCTTTAGCTGATGTGCCCTTATTCCTGGTGGATGTTTCCCTTATTAAAGCAGAAAAAGGGGATCCCGTTTCTGCTCAGACTCTGCAGGAAGGATGAAATCAGCCTTAGTCAGAAGAACATGAATGCAGAAAAGTTTGGTCCTTCTAGAGCTTTGAGAGCTTTGTGGAAAACCAAATTTAGATAAACTGAAGGTTAAAAGAAATGCATTACTCTTCATTTAATCAAACATCACAACTGGCACACAAAAAGTGTCTTTACAATGAATTTAACTTGTCATTTCAGTCACAACGGCACTTTACACTGAATTTAATTTGTCATTTCAGTCAAAAAAGTATGTTTGATGCATCTATTTTATCACATGCAACACACTGAACATGAATATTAACCTTTTAATAACAAAACGCTAGTCAGGCCAAAAGCATCAAGCTCAAGAAATGACCAATAGGAAGACAGGAGGAGAAAAGTATCGCAGTGTTTCTGCCTCTTTCAAACAGAGTCACTGTAGAATTGTTTGTTTTTTTCCAAAATAAGATTAAAAAGAAAAGAAGACAGACTAAAGTGTGTAGCAGGAACATTATAAATCACTGTTTCACACAGTGAGGCTCATAAAAAGCTTATTTACCTTTATCAAAATCTGAAAATAGTCATTACAGACTTTTATTTTGGTTCATGGATGTTCTGTTCTGAGGTGATGCCAGCTATCAACATCAGCCAAAATCTGAAACACACACTCATATCCTCAACATAAACTAATTTTTCTAATAAAACCACTGAGACGATGAGGCTGAATCATAAAGCTGATGAGTGGCTTTAAACACTTGATTAAGGACAGCTTTTCCTTTCCTGTTCAGCATTTTCCCCCAAACAATAACCAAACTACACCAAACCAAACCTTAGAAATAGCTCGTCAGCTCCATATAAAAGGTTATTTCTGTTGTAATTTAAATTTCGTGAATTTAAGTGGGTTGTTTTAAGAATGGAAAGGAACCATAATTCAGTTTAAGATATATTTGGGTGAAACTATTGTTATAATTTTGAATAACAACTGGAACAAGCATACACACATATATGTTTATATATATATATATATACAGTGGGGGAAATAAGTATTTGACCCCTTGCTGATTTTGCAGGTTTGCCTACTTACAAAGAATGCAACGATCTATAACTTTAATCATATGTACATTCTAACAGTGAAAGACAGAATCCCAAAGAAAATTCCAGAAAATCACATCATATGAATTTATAAAAACTGATAATCATCTGATGAGGAAAAATAAGCATTCTTTGTAAGTGGGCAAACCTGCAAAATCAGCAAGGGGTCAAATACTTATTTCCCCACTATATATATATATATAAATATATATGCCTATTGTGTGTGCATATGGATGGAATCGTAACTCAGCTTTGACACTGAGGTTCATCTCTATCTGAACACAGTTCAAGTTTAATGCGGCCAGCTGTCCGACGGCAGCCATTGTGTTCGGAAAGTTTTTTGTTTTTTTTTTTGCAAATGAGGACATTAACACCAAAAAGAAGTGGGAGAAAGCGGGGGGGGCCGGGGAGGTCGCCGGGGGTTACGGAGGGGAGCCGACTAGGTGCAGAAGCAGATATCTGGTGGCATGGGAAAGTCACCCCTCGGCCCGGGCTGAATGGAGGAGGCAGGCGGGGGGTGGGGGGGGCGC